GACATTCTTGCTCTTCCTTCTCTCCATCACTACAGACATTCTTGCTCGTCCTTCTCTCCATGTGTGTCGTTGTATGTGTCCTTCTCTCCATCACTACAGACATTCTTGCTCTTCCTTCTCTCCATCACTACAGACATTCTTGCTCTTCCTTCTCTCCATCACTACAGACATTCTTGCTCGTCCTTCTCTCCATTTGTGTCGTTGTATGAGTCCTTCTCTCTATCACTACAGACGTTCTTGCTCGTCTTTCTCTCCATCTTTGTCGTTGTATGTGTCCTTCTCTCCATCCTGGTTGTTATGCACATCCTTGTCCCGTAGATGTACGCCAGACATCTTTGGATCGGAGATCGGGAGTACCATCATCAGAAGAGATGACAAAATAAACAAGGCTCCTGGGAACAGAGACAGAAAAATGTCAGCGCCTTCGTTATATATTTTACACTATATGTATTATATCATTTTTTAAATATTAGATTTTATATCATAAATATTATATTTCAATATTATATATTATATATTGTATTTTATGTTATATTAATATAACTAGCTGGACCCCCTTTCGATGAAAGGAATGATCGCTGCATTAACATCAACTGAAAGTCATTGGACTACTATATTTACACTCTATTGGAATGGAGCAATAAATCTTGAGAAATGCAACAAATTAGAAGGTCTAGATATAGCGTTGTATAGAATGATTCTCTATTCCGCTTCTGTAGTTGTACACTCCAGAATTTCAAACCGCTAGTGAACGGAAACCTCACTTGTTTACAATGGCGTTTTAGAAGACAGACTTTCCCAAGGTTAGATCTAACTAAATTAATGAAAAACTGAAAATTAAACTACAGTGACTCCAGACTCCCCTCCCCCCAAAAAAAACAACAACAAACAACTGTGCACCCTTTAAATGATTCTGAACCACCATTAATTTTGTGGAATTTGAAAGTTATGTGGTTCGGACATTTTAGGTGGATTAAGTAACAGACTTTCACAAATATAATATATAGAGATGTATTACATGTTTATGTATATATGTATATATATGGAAGTGTCTACGTTCTCTAATGTTAGAGAATGTACAGAAGCTGTCTACGTTCTCTAACAAATAAAAATGGTAACAATATTAAGCCTGTGGGGCCTTATTTGAACTTCCGGATAAGGCTATGCTACTTTTCAATCTTTCTTTTTTTTTCAAATTGGTTTACA